AGCCGTGACTCCAGGGTGTCCACCACCCCTGTGTCACCTACGGCGCCTACCATAGTGACTACTGCACAGCTGCCGGCCTACGAACAACTTAGGTAAGGTGCAATTAAGTTGACTAGACTGAAAGGTAAGTCGCGTGTTCGATCCACGCTCACCGCACCATGCAGGGATAGCATTCCAGTCCACTAACCGACTGGGCTAAAAGGGCATGTTTCCTTGGTGGCTCAGCGCACCCATACCTCCCCAGGACGACACGTGTAGCCCTTAGGGAGACCACTCCGGGCCATTCCAGTGTTCACTTCCAACACTCCCCTCACTGGGAGGGCCCACCACTAGGGCACAAGAAGTCGCCAACAGCAGGAATCAAACCCTGGTCCTCCACGCTCACCGCACCATGCGGAGATAACTGCTAAAACGGGAGCTGGACTACGGGCTAGGCACGGGTGCTCGTGTGATCTCTGCGTTCACTTGTTCCTTAGTCGTTTCCAAGTGCTCACACTACTTGCTAGTTCACAGGGAGAATTGGCAAGAGTTTCACTAGGAAAGGTTGACAACAGAAAATGGTGCAATGAAGTTGGCAATACTAGACTACATCAGAGCTAGCATGCAAGCAAGTCTACTGCCAGCGCAGCACGGTCGACCGCGTGCCAGCACGACTTGGTCGACCGCGCTCCAGCAGTGCAGAGGCGCGGCTTGCCAGTGCTGCAAGTCGACGGCGTGCCAACATCGCAGGTTGACGGCGTGCCAACGCTGCTCCCGCAGGACAGCAGCGCACCCGCTTCGCAGGTGCTCGCAGATGATTGGCGTGTAGTGCCTCGTCACCTGCACAGCGCATACAACTTCGTGCTGACGACTGATTCTGATCAGCCACGTTGACCTCGGGATACCACCACCGAGATCGTCCTCGCCAACATCGCCTGAGCGACCGTCGCGTGCCTTCGCAGAACCTCGTCACCCGGACAGCCTGGTCGACCGGGCAACCACGTCGACCAGCTGCTCCTGTATGTGCCGGTCGACCTCCCAAGTCGACGGCCACCTCTAGACGACCTCCCCAGGTCGACCACTATGTTCGGTCGACCACCAGGTCGACTTCACGCCTGGTCGACCAGCCACCAAGTCGACCAGAAGGCCTGGTCGACTTACCAGGTCGACCAACCAGGTCGACCAGAAGGCCTGGTCGACTTACCAGGTCGACCAGAAGGCTTGGTCGACCAACCAGGTCGACCAGAAGGCCTGGTCGACTTACCAGGTCGACCAGAAGGCCTGGTCGACTTACCAGGTCGACCAGAAGGCCTGGTCGACTTACCAGGTCGACCAGAAGGCTTGGTCGACCAACCAGGTCGACCAGAAGGCCTGGTCGACCAACCAGGTCGACCAAAAGTTCCGTCAGCCCACCACCCAAGTCGGCTACCCCAAGTTGGCGTCACCAAGTCGACGCCCTCCGCAGGTCGACTTCCCAGGTCGACCTTCCTGAAGTCGGCGCCATCCTGAAGTCGGCGCCCATGCAGTGGCACCCGTGCAGGTCGACTTCCTCGTTGACCAGCTCGCCCACTGCTGCAGGTCGGCTGCACCCCTACACCCGACCACGAAGTCGGCTCCGCCCAAGCGAGGACGGGGCCAACACACAACTCCCGTTGACAGCGGCAGCGTCACGCGTCACCTCCCCCAGCTGCGTCTCCTCCTCACCCGCCATCCTGCCTCGCCTCTCTCTGCCTTGTCGCCCTCACCATCTTGTCTTCCCCACCCCTTGCTCGCCTCCACCGCTGCTCCCATTGCCTCACAGGATCGCTCTCGTGGGTCAAGAATCCGACATGGAACAACAGCTAGGTTTCGAGATCCAAGAAGTTAGCTGCTGCAGAACGGAACGAGGAGTGGAAAGCCGTGACGACCCAAGAAGTTAGCTGTTGTGGAACTGAACGAGAAGCAGAAAGTCGTGACGACCCAAGAAGATAGCTGCTGCGGTGTGACAGCCTTTTGGAGCAAGCAGTGCGAGCACTACATTCCAAGATTTTTCCCTTCGAAATCCCTAACTCAAGGTTCGCGTCTACCATACCTGTTGGTAACCTCGGGTTGAGGCAACTGCCATGCACATGCATTGGCGCGGCATGCGAGGCACTGGGAACATCGCGGCCGTTGTCGCGGGGGACAAACTCGGCTCGGGGCGCGTTCGCAATCCATGGTTAACCGGAGTCGTGTCAGCATGTGGGATGGGGCATGAAGACGCCGTGACGATGTGCCACTACCGAAGTGTGCTCCGTGGGAGTACACTTTCCAATAGAAATAAATTTGTGTTTGTGTTTGCAAGGGAAGATGTCGGCCGAACCCCTTTGCGAAACCCCCTTTGCCCCTGCGGGTTTTCCTCGAAGGGATTTTCGTTTTTACGCTGTCGCGTGGCGGGGCACGCGAGGGGTGGGAGCCAGCCAACCCGCCCGCCCGAAACGAGCCTCGCCAGCTCGGAGTGACGTAAGATGGTCCCAGCTCGAGCTGTTGACCCCACGTGCTCCCCCCCGTCTGCATTAACCCCGCCTGCACCAACCCCCTTGTCCGTCGAGTAAATCCGCCTCCATCAACGGATTTTGTCTCGACTCGACGGAAAGTGGTGCAGAGAAAAGCGTGGCAGAAGCGCGCCACAGAGCAGATCGACACAGAGCACAACTGCAACTGAAATTAAAGCGTATATGTAAACAAAATAAATACATAAACTGCAATGGGCAAACTTGATAAGGAATAGGAGGCACACAAAAAAATGGGGCATTCCCTACAATTCTCATTAATACGTCTATCATCAATTCTAACCTTATTCATGCACAGATGCCAGGTAGAACACATGTCGTCAGTTTTGCTGCCCGTGCGCCGTAGAGCAAGTGAATGTGAACTTTATGAGAATGCATTCTTGCACCACCTGGGCCAGCCTTTCTTGCACGATGCGGGGACCGACTCAACCGAGTAAGAAGACGAGGGGTTAGGCGTTACTTTCACCGACCAGCTCGACACTGCTTGGTTCGCCGAGACCAGCTCGTCGAGCAGAGCACAATAAGCAGTGCCCACCGAAGGTTCTCGTCGACCACTAATGTGCACTAGCAATGCTCGTCGACGTCGTCGACTGTCTTGTCGAGCAGAGCCTGCGATAGCAATTTTGTCGTCGACCGTCCCGTCGTCGACTGGATCCCGTCCTGCACTAGTAATCTCATGCGGTTTAGAGCGCACCGATGTCAAAATAGGTCTTGCGTTGATACGCCATAAAACGACGTGCTGTCGAAGAAAGTTTGAAAACGAATGACTGCCATATGTGAATTACCGACCTTATCAGGTACCCTAAAAATCATACAATTTGGAAAGCTAGAGTTTGTTGAATATAATGTTTTGTTATGCATTTCCTACATAGAAAAATATGGTCCGTTCGACGGGATAAGAAAATGCAGCTGCCAAACTCTAGTGCAACAATAACATTGCTTGTGTTAATTGTCCACATTCACGACATGTTTAACGTATAGTAAAACTTGAGCATTGTGTGATTGTGAGTCTCGATGCTACAAAGAGAAGTGAAACGGGGTACTGGCGGTGATAGATGTGCTTGGTCGAATGATATAAATTTCTCGATCATTTTGCTCTGTCCGTCGAAATCTTTTATTTTGACCTATAAGGATAATGCGCAGTTCGACAACTTCCGCGTCAAATGCTGATGGTGACTTGCCAAAATCTAGAAACGGCTTCTGCTATCGATAATCAATTTCATCGAACAACGTCTCGGTAATTTTTTTTCCCCGGGTGTGAAATCGGAACCTTATCAAATGAAATTCCTTGTTCGACAAAAAGTAATGCAGTACTGTTTTGACAAAAATGTGAAAGTGTAAGGGCGAAGTTTTTCAATCTGCTTCGTCGAATTTTCACTTACCGCAACACGGACAACATGAAATCACGGAAACGTTTACCAAGATCCCTAAGTATTGTCGAACATCCCGGAAGCACCTCCTGTCGAACATCACATTTGAGTTTCCGTCGAAGAAAAAATATTTGAAATGTTGTCGAAGGCGATACACCTTTTTAATGCCCTGTCGAAGACATGAAATTGCAAAACTTAGTATAAACGCCCTCTCGAAGAACGAGGTGTTGACGAAAAATGTAAAACAAACCCTCTCCAACAAATGCGTTGTTCTGAAATACCCTTTCTGTAAAAAACGGTGAGGTGAAATACCTTTTTTGTCGAAAACCAGAAGTTGTGCAAAGAAGTAGCATATGTAGAGTGATTTTTACTTGCTTCATTTAACACATAACTGAGTTATAACTCTATATAAAACATTGACCGCGACCACGATTGGTCAATGTTCGTCGAGCAATGCTCGATAAATGTCCCCGACATTGAATACGACATTGAACCCGCGGGTTTACGAGGGTTTTTCGGCCTGGTCAGCTGGGAATTTCTGGGGACCCGGAGGGATTCCGAGGGTTTTTCGTTTTGCCTCAAATGCCATTTTGTGGCAGGAGGGCGGCAGAAAGCGCACGGGTGTCCAAAGTTCCGCCTGTCATCCGCATGCTGTTCCGCCTGTGTCGCTCCGCCTTTTGCTTAGTGGCCACCCCTGGGCAGCGCGAATCGCCTTGGGGTCATCTCCCGCCGACACGCACTCCAACGCCCTCTGCGTCGCGCCGTCTTGTCATCGCCGCTGCTCCCATCTGCCGCATCCGCGCCTTTCCGCCTCCCCTGGCTCAGACCCCCACAATGGGTCAGCCCATGGGTTTGGCCCCAACACACTGTTGGTAGATACCTACCCCGCCGTGCCGCAGCACGCCCACACCGCCCTGTGCCCCGCGTCCATCAGCGACGCGCGCCCTTAGCCTCTGAGTGGCATCGCTCTGCACGCCGCCCTCCATAGCAACCTGGGGGCTGCAGAGCAATCCCACCACGGCGCAGACAGAAGCAGCTCTAAACGCAGCTCTCTCTCCACTGCCCCCACCCAAGCAAGCCCCCACCCAAGGAAAAACCCCACCGAGGCAAGCCCCCACCCATGAAAGCTATACAATCATGGTTGCCTTTTGCGGAGCGTCAAAGTTCGCCCACGCACGAATTTCCTCCACTTCACCGCACCTGCCTGGTCATGCCCTGCCAAGCTTCCGCTCCTCTTCACACCCACGCCCTGCGCTCGCCACTCCGTACACAGCACTCCCTACCGTTGCCCATTTCTACGAACTTTGGCACTTCTTATCATCCTGCTTTGCTTGCATGCCTCTATCCCTAATCTTGCGCTTATCCCACCCCCACTCTCCCATCCCTCCCGTTCCAGGAACCTCCCACTTCCCCCCCCCCCTCCCGCCTCGCCCATCCTGCCCACTTGCTACCTGTTGGTGTATCGCAGTCGAGAGGTGGGGCAGTCAGACATCTCCTCCGTGCGCACACAGCTCTTCCTTCGTCTGCCGTTTTCCCCACCCCCACTCTCCCATCCCGTGCGCAGAAGGACGCACCCACTTCCCCCACCTCTGCACCCCCTTGCTACCTGTCGGTGTATCGGAGTCGAGAGGTGGGGCAATCATACATCACCTCAGTGGCCACCACCATTATCGCCACGCTGCACGCCATGCTGCTGGTGGCGCGTGTCAGACCCCAATTGGTGAGTCCATCCGTGCAGCTTACCTCTTGTCTCTCTTTTCTGCAGCTTCTCGTCCTCTGCATTCAGCGAATGCAGATGCAGATTCCTTCGTGTCCTGGTTCCTTCGTGTCCTGGTTCCTTCGTGTCCCGGTTCCTTCGTGTCCTGGTTCCTTCGTGTCCTGGTTCCTTCGTGTCCTGTTTCCTTCGTATCCTGGTTCCTTCGTGTCTTGGTTCCTTCGTGTCCTGGTTCCTTCGTTCTACTGCCCTCACACCTCATAATTCTTGCCCATCCATCCATGCCCCTCCATGAATGGGCAGCTGCTTTGCAACGGGCCCGGCACATGCCTGCCAATCTGCATCGCTGTCTTCACATTGCACGTGAGCTGTACTGCCTGCAAGAGAGCACACCACGAGTCACCCACACTATCAACCATCTGCGCTCCCCCATCCCCTCCTCCATGGACCTCATAACCGACCCTCTGCAACCACCTTATGCACCTTCACACACACACACACACACACACACACTGCAATTCACATTCCAGTGACCTCCCTCCCTTCCTGTACGCAGCGACTTTTCACGAGTGCCACGCCCCGTCCGCACATAGTTCAGAGTACCACAGCCACGCCATCTCCTCACTTGCTCACATAATTCACAGTCATGAGCTGCGTGACCAGCTGTCCGTGGTCCTCAGATCTCCACCGCTTCTCACTCCTTGCCCGTGCCAAATGTGACCCCCTCTCCTTTCCCTTTGCCTTCCTTGCATCCATCTGGCACAACATTTTGAAGTACAGATGCAGAGCCATGCTCAAAATAATTCATGTGACTCTTTAGAGCCCGATCCCACAACCCCTTGCCATTGTGGTGGCAGGTACTAGGAGTGCAGAGCAGCGGCATTGTGTTCGTTGAGAGTGTAGCAATAGTGCACCACCTGTCACTCACAGGCCTCCTGCTGCACCGCTCAAACGCCCTCTGCTCTCCCGCACCCCTCACTCCCCCACTGTCCCCAATCTGACCCCCGTCTCCTTCCTCTGCATGCCCTGCTTCTAGCCTGTGCACAGCCAGAAAACAGAGATTCAGAGGGCTGCCAAAGAGGTTGCGGCTCATGGGACTCATCGGAGCTCAATCCCACAACCCCTCATCGTCGTGTTCATGCAGGTATTGGGCGTGCAGAGTAGCAGCATCGTATTTGTGGAGAGTGTGGCGCGCGTGCACCATCTGTCACTCACAGGCCGCCTGCTGCATCGCGTGGGCATCGTGGACTGGTTCTTCGTGCAGTGGCCGCATCTCACTGCCATGTGCAAGGGCACCCACTATGTGGGCCACCTCATGTGATGCTCACTGGAAGCGAGCACAACAGCAGACTCATGTTGGAAACATAAAATTCACGCTTCTGAAGTATCGAGCATTACACCGTAAGCGAAGCAAAACTACAGCAAAGCAACAAGCGAGTCAACCTCGAGAGGTTGACACGAGACAGCAGTAAGAGGTTACACGAAGGTCAAAGGTCAGTGACCTTTGACTCGTCGGAAAGCAGCGCGACAACAAAGACACACAACTGACTCGCTATTGAGCAGTTGCCCGAGTCGTCACTGTATCGAACCGCAACAGCAGCAGTTACAATTGTAGGTACAAATAGCAGTTTGATAAACCTTTCGTATTCTCTTGTAATCAGATAAAAGCTTGTCTGTCTTTGTATTAATCAACTCATCTTGTCCTCATATACCAGCACAAGGTGGTTTAATCAAAGTTCATTAAGAACGCTTCCGCTAACTACAACACTCTGAGTCTTACTCTTTAAACGATCCTAAGGGCTTTTCTCAGCCCAACATGGTATGAGAGCAGGACGACAAGATTCAACGTCTTTCTTTAAAACTGCCTACAGCGACAAAAGACATGGCAGCATAGAAAGAACATCGCTCATCCACAGGATCCCATGGTGTGTCAGAGGTCCACTGGTGATCCCCGATTGATCCTAGGGAAGGATCACAGGCACGCCGGCCTGGGGGGTTATGGGCGCACTCACCCGCTACACAAACAAGCCCTTTTATCCCAGTGGTTAGTGGCTGGGATTCTGACATGGTATCAGAGCGAAGGTCTTAGGTTTGTATCCTGGTGTGTGCACCTCGGGCATCCCAGTGCGGGGGGGTGTCAGAGGTCCACTGGTGATCCCTGATTGATCCTAGGAAATGGTTACAAGCACGTCGGCCTGGGGGGTTATGGGCGCACTCATCCGCTACACAAACAAGCCCTTTTATCCTAGTGGTTAGTGGCTGGGATTCTGACATGGTGCTACTCCTACCCCACCTCCAGCCTCTGGACTATAGACAGAGGAAGGCACGACAACAAGACCAGCTGCTGAATCCACTAAGACACCCGCCAATCAGGCGACCGGCTTCGACCCGAGCATGATGGAGAAGTTTTTCTCCTTCATGTCGTTCTACGAGCAACTGCAACAAATGTCACATGCGCAGTCCAATAATAGCAACAACAACAATGGCGTCACTTCTATGAGTCTCGACGGCTCATCGTTCACGCGCGGAAATCAACAGCAGCCTACCTTTGCACCATATGAGCCCCAGCGCTGCTCCATCAACTTCATGCCGAATCGCCTTCAACCTGGACAAGAACCAATGTTGGGCTGAGAAAAGCCCTTAGGATCTTTTCAAGGCTAAGACCCTTGGTAGGACTATTATAATTGCGGTAGCGTTTGATGATAAACTATTGAACCACCTTGTGCTGGTGTGTGAGGGCAAGATAGATTAATTATAGCAAAGTAGTACAAAGGTTTTAAAAGATTGCAAGGAATATGAAATGATGCAACTTTAACTGTTTTACTGTTGCTGTTGCGGTTCGATATAGCAACGACTCGGGCAACTGCTCAATACCGAGTCAGTTGTTTGTCCTTATTGTCGCGCTGCCTTCTGGTGAGTCAAAGGTCGCTGACCTTTGACCTTCGCGTAACCTCCAGCTGTTACGTTTTGTCAACCTCCTCGGTTGACTCGCCGTTGCTTCGCTCTGAATTGCTTCGTTTGTAGTTTGATGTTCCGACACATCAGAAGCGTTAAATTACTTGTTTCCAACACTCCCCTTCGCTTCTGGAGTGTCGTTGCTGGTGACGTGGCCTTGTCCAGTCAGCAGCATGCAGTACTCGAACTTCTGCTTTCCGAGTTTCTTGGTCAAGTAATCTGCTGCCATCTCGGATGTGGGGCAGTAGGATAGCTCGAGTCTCCCCTTCTCGATCTCGTCCTTCACGAAGAAGTATCGTAGGGCGATGTGTTTTGTTCGATTCGCGAACCCGTTCTTGTTCGCTATGCGAATAGCCGATTAGTTGTCGCACAACACGGAGAAGCTGGGTAACAGAGCTAGCTTCGCTTCTTCCAGCAGTTCGCGAAGGGATAATCCTTTCTTGGTGGCTGAGCAGAGTGCGATGTATTCTGCTTCAGCTGAAGAGAGAGCAATTAGCTCTTGATTGCTCGACTGCCATGAGATAGGCCCGATAGGTTCGAGTCGGTAGATGTAGCCGGTGCGCGATCGCTTGTTGTCGGAATCGCCAGCGTGGTTGGCATCCACATAGCCGATTAGCTTGGGCGTCGTGGTTCTGGTTTTGTAGTAGGCTATGCCGATCATTGGAGAGCTAACGAGGGAGTGGAGTGCGTGGTAGAGTTCCGCCGTGTGTTCTGCTTCAGGCTTCTTGAGGTAGGTGGCGAGTTGGCTCGCTAAGTATGGCAAATCCGGTCGGCAGGTAACGACTGCGAAGAGCAGACATCCCAGTTTTCGCTGGTAGTCGCGTATGACGGCGGGTTTGAGCGGAACGGAGTTTTCCTTGCGAATTCCGTCGCTGTAGCGATATGGTGTGGTGATGGTAGCTGGGGTAAGTACGAAGCGCTTGGCAATTGTGTCGGCGTATTTTGCAGCGCTGAGGTAGATTGCATTTTCCCCGTCTTATATGTTGAGTCCCAGGTACTGTGTCACGATAGTTGAGACGGTGAGCGTGAGGTCCCGCTGCCGCTCCTTTTCGAACCAATTCGTGATGTCGTCGGTCGAGCTGATGTAGAGTAAGTCGTTCACGTAGATGGTGGCATGAAGCTGATGGAGCCACGTTGAGGCTCGTACGGAGCAAAGGTGGGTTGCTGCTGGTTTCCGCGCGCATAGGATGAGCCGTCAAGACTCATAGGGGTGACGCCATTGTTGTTGTCGCTGTTGTTTGATTGCGCAGGTGCTGCTTGCTGGTGCTGCTCGTAGAAGGACATGAAGGAGAAGAATTTCTCCATCATGCTTGGGTCGAAGCCTGTTGCTTGGTTCGCAGGTGTTTTAGTAGACTCAGCAGCTGGTCTTGTCACCATGCCTCCCTCTATCTATAGGCCAGAGGCTGGAGGTGGAGTAGGAGTAGTGCCGGGAGAGCCGTTAGAGGAGCTTCTCTCCTTCTGTGTTGCCATGCCTTCTATTGTGTAGGGGTATTAATGGAGTTGGATCTTGCCTTGTGCGCTCTCATACCATGTTGGGCTGAGAAAGCCCTTAGGATCTTTTCAAGGCTAAGACCTTTGGTAGGATTGTTGTAATTGCGGAAGCGTTTGATGATAAACTATTGAACCACCTTGCGCTGGTGTGTGAGGGGAAGTTAGATTGATTATAGCAAAGTAGTACAAAGCTTTTATAAGATTACAAGGAATATGAAAGGATGCAACTTTAACTGTTTTACAGTTGCGTGCGGTTCGATACAGCGACGACTCGGGCAACTGCTCAATACCGAGTCAGTTGTTTGTCCTTGCTGTCGCGCTGCCTTCTGGCGAGTCAAAGGTCGCTGACCTTTGACCTCCGCATAACCTCCAGCTGTTACGTTTCATCAACCTCCTCGGTTGACTCGCCGTTGCTTCGCTGTGAAATGCTTCGTTTGTAGTTCGATGTTCCGACACATCAGAAGCGTTAAATTACTTGTTTCCAACAACCAAAACCAATGGATGCGCTTCAGATGCAGTCACAGTTCGCACACGTGTTAAAGCTGCAAACGTCAACACTCTTCAATGGAAATGACTTTTATACCTGGTCCTTTGAGTTCGAGCTGATGATGGAAGGCGCGCAAATTCTTGGCTTCTTCGACGGGTCCCTGCCATATTTAACACACGGGACACAGTACGAGAAACAACAATACATATATCAGTCGCTAATGGCCTACACGATCCTCGTACGGAACATAACGGCGAACGAGCAGCAGAACATTCGGTCTTATCGGGGATACGGCAACTCCGCCGAGCTCGCGTACAACCACCTGAATAACATGTATCAGGCAAGAGCCGACTAATGGCACAATTGACAACAGTGGAAATGAAACCAGGCAAGAAGGGAGTGGCGTATATCAGTTGGTATCACGGACTGCGCGATAGACTCTTTCGATGCGGTGGATTGATTTCTGAGGAAGCCTTCGTCACAGTCGTCATCACTGGTCTCGGCCCTCATTGGCGCTCCACTCGAGCTATCCTCCGAGCTCACGGGAAGATCTCTGAAGCGGCGCTCTGCACCAAAATTAACGCTGAGCAGCAGCACATGGACCTGCACGAAGAGCGTCACAAGAGATGTCAGCACCCGAGTTCGCATTTCATACTCAACGGCACAACAACAGCAACAACAACAACAACAACAACGGACAAAACAAGCATCAAGTCCAACGACATGAACCACCGTTCTGCCATCTCTGCAAGACACCAGGACACCCTCGCAATCATTGCCCAAATCAGCAGCAGTCAACACCACCACGACGTCAACTTTGACCTTCAAGCAGTCAGGTGGTTTCTACACAGACGTACCCCACCAATCAAGTGCAATCTTCAACGACATCGACGACACAACCTGCACAAGGCTCAAGAAACATCGTGAGCTGTATGACAAGAACAACAGACTCATGCATCACCGATTCGCCACCACACTACTCACCAGAAGAACTGCTCCATAAAAGCACTCCTCGCCGCGAGACATTGGAGCCGAATCCGACGTATGCAGCCATCGCCCAAAGCGGGCCCTCCAGAAAAGATACTTGGTTCTTAGACAGCTGTTGTGGACAGCACATGTGCTCTTCGGGTCGTTTCGTTCAACGAGAACACCAGCTTCAACGCGAAGTCGTAATCACTGTCGCCAACAACCAGAACCTGCGCACACGACGACAAGGGATAGTTCAACTTCAGTCCTGAGAAACCAACGTTATTCTGCAAATGTCGAAGGTTTTAATAGCAAAAGGACTCGGCTACAACTTACTCAGCGTCAGTCAACTCATGACGAAAGGAATCCATCTTGAAGCAGACAGCACCACTTAGGAGTTTAAGCTGTACCACGGAAAGGGT